TTTGCACATTTGTTCGTTTTTTGCCTGTTCTTGTTTTAGCTTAGATGCTAGTTCTGCCATTGTCTGAAACTCCCCTGCACGTACCGAAATATTGACTACATTAAGGTTAAGCTTCCTGAACGTTGTGCCATTTGCCCCTACATATTTGGCTGCAACTTGGCAACACAACCGCCTTAAACGACCTTCAATTCTCTCGCAGTTTTCTCTTATTTTATATCCACTTATCTGGTTCAGATAGTAGTTGAGTATTTCGATCCAGCTGCAGTTGATTTGGTTCAGTAAACCATCTTTGGCTTTGCAAGTATACCAATACCGTAATGTAATATATGGGATACGTACGGTAAAGACAACTTGTTCAGAAGACACACACTGTTTTCCGACATAATTCAAACACTGATTTGGATTAACAACTTGAATGTGGTTTTCTACCTTTTGTAAGTCCAAAATTTTAACGATATCTGACATTTTAAAGCTACATTATATCAAAACAGAACTGGAAAACTTGCAGTGTTTATGAAGTTGTATTTAATTTTGCCGCCACTTCGCGGCTCGCGCAAGCAAATAGTTGTTTTGGGAGTCCACTGACCAAAAGAACTGCATATATACCCTAAGCATAGCAGTAGAAAAACAAGCGTTTCTTGCTGATCATTTTGGTAGTAAACAAGGCCGGTTTTCCGTGAAAAAACTTAGTTTTTTAACTTATTCTGGTGTAACGATCGCAGCGAGTGATTACGAGTCATGTTTGCCGTGATTTTACAAGTTTTTTTTACATTCACGGACAAAATGCAGAGCCGATATACGATGTTTTTTTGTGAAACTTGGAAGGTTAACTGTACTATTATTGGTCTAATGAAATCCATCGAGGCAAATCCGGATATTTGAACAAGATCACAATTATCGTGGATTGAATTCTTCGACGAGTGGTAAATAATACTGCGTTAATACATATTATATGGCGGAAAAAAAGTAATATTTAATCGAAGAATGCAGAGGCACAATTCAGACTATCTATATAAAATGCATAAAACTGAAAACATGGCATACCGCTCTAATCAATCACGGCAGGGCACTTGTTTTAAGTAAATCTTTAAAAGCTCTATTTTGTGTTTTTTGTTTATTACAAGCTAAAACTCTATAAAGTTAAATGTTATTTTCATGCTTAATTTACGAGCATGCGCAGTAGACGTGTCCGCGATTTCTGGCCATGAATTTGGCCAAAGAAATGAAACTGATTCACCGAACACAAATTGGATTTATGCCTGGAATGAGAACGGCTGACCATATTCTCACACTGAAATCTCTACATGACAAATACATTAAACCGAGTAATAACGAAAAAAAATCTATGTTTTGTCGACTTCAGAAAAGCGTTTGACTCTGTTTGGCATCAAGGTTTATTTTATCAACTAATTGAAAACAACATAGGAGGTCACTTTTATATGACTTAATTCATAACCTCTACTCGAGCACGAAATGTGCTATAAAACTTTCAGAAAACAGAACACCGTTTTTCCCTACAAAAAGGGAGTCAGACAGGGATGCACTCTAAGTCCTCTATTGTTTAATATTTATATTAACGACCTTCCTAAACTATTTGAACAAGCTCAATCAGACCCTTTTGTATTACCAAACGGAACTGCTATCAACAGTCTCTTATATGCAGATGATCTAATTATACTTTCACGATCAAAACATGGTCTACAAAATTGTTTGAATCAGTTACACGAAAGGTCAACATCAAGAAAACAAAAGTTATGATTTTTCAAAAACACAACTCAAAATTACCAAACCTTCACTTCCACATTGGAAATAAGAAGGTAGATATAGTTAAAGAATATACCTATCTTGGCTTAAAACTCGTGCCAAATGGCAAATTTAAATAAACTCGCACAACAGCAGTTAAGCGAAAAAGCTTTGCATGCTCTTTATAAAATTCGTAAAAATCTAGACTTTCACAAACTCTCTCCGAAAACAGCTACAAAAATTTTCGAATCGATCATCACCCCCATTCTACTATACAACTCAGAAGTTTGGAGTGCATATGAAAAGAATGATCTAAGTAAATGGGATAACTCAGATACGTAAAGGTTCATTCAAGATTTCGCAAGCTATATTTGGGTGTTAACAGAAAGGCAAGCAATATAGCTTGCAGAAGTGAACTCGGAAAGTATCCTCTTCATTACAATATAATAAATTATTTTAAACATATTTTTAAACTAGACGACAACTCAATAGTTAAACAATCTTTACCAATGTCTAAACAACTATATGAAATAGGCAAAGAATCTTTCTATGCTAACTCAATAAACATGCTAAAACCATTCTATGATAAAATTACAAATTTTGAATGTGACATAATCAACTACGATACAAAAACCATCGTAAAGAAAATGAAAGATAAATATGTTGAATTCTGGCGACAAAAACAACTCCTCCAAACTCTCTTTTCTTTTTTAAATTCAAAAATGAATACAAAATGGAAGAATACTTATCCCTTATTCAAAATCAAACAATAAGAAGAACATTTTCCCAATATCGTAATAAAATCGTATAAGCAACCATAAGTTACAAATTGAACGAGCAAGATACGAAAATATACCTCGAGAAGAACGTATCTGTAAACTATGTGAGTCTGGCGAAGTGGAGAACGAATTCCATTTCGCCGTCACATGCCAAAAATACCAACATATACGAGACAACTCAAACAACATTCTCAAAAATATGTTTGATCTCAACATAACGAAAGAAACTAAACAAAAATTACTTCAACACACCATGTCATCGGACGACCCTGTTTTAGTAAATCTATTTTCTAATTATTTATTTCTCTGCACAAAAGAAAGAGAAGATAACCTCAAATCTCTGGTAACCCCAAATCATTTAAAAACAAATTAGTCTTATAGTCTATACTTCCACTATACAAATTACTTTAATTTGTATAAAAAAAGGGAATCCTCTTACATGACTACACACGTCGTAGTCATAATTAACATTATATTTCGAACGTTTTATAAACCATATATGTATATGTATGTGTTTGTACGTGTAAATATATGGAAAAAAAGAACAAAAAACACTTATATAATATATATATATATATATATATATATATATATATATATATATATATATATATATATATATATATATATATACACTGGATCCAGAAAAGTTTGACCTTCGAATATATATATATATGACGGCCATTTTGAATTTTCTTGGGTTAATTATACGCGAACGCATACATCAAATGTCGCTCGCAACGTACTGTATATTGCAATATTCCAACAGCTCAAATAAGTAGAGGATCATTGCTTGAAGTTCTTACACATATTTGTAGTAGCTATCTAATGAACATTTGAGGGTTGTTAGCTAATTAACTCTTGTCACAATTTGGAACCTGATCTTTTTGGCATGTCGTAATTTATTATTTTGCATCCTTAGAGATTTAGACGCTTATTAGCATGCCTCGATGAATTTCTTTGTTTATTCTTTCGTATTCACTTGTGCTTATTTTATAGCTGTAACCTACGTCCAGAATTATTATATTAAAGAGTTTGGCAACCTAGAACGGCAACGACAACTGCAACGGGGAAAATATAATTGCTTATATTGTTGTATTTGAGCCAAAGTATACGTTACTACACTAAATTTGCCTCATTAAGTATTCCTGTTTCTTTCAAACGTACCCTTAAATAAAAATAGTCCGCGAATTCAATAAAACTCTCAAATAACATCGAACGAATGAATTGTTGCCGTAGTCATGCACCGTGAAAATGATGCAAATCACGTATTAGTTTCAACAACTACGGCATTGCACAACGCTTAAGACCATGTAATTTACATTCGCCTTTGTCTTTGAGGATTAATGCTATTGTTAATGACCATCTTGCCGTTGCGGTTGCCCTTGTATTTGCCGAATTCTCTATTATATTTTGCCAACGGAAATTTTAACGAAATCGATAGTCATTCGATATTTCATCCCCTGAAACTCAGCACACGCAGCATTCGTGACCTGGCGAAGCAGAAACGTTCATTTCCTACTAGCCATTATGTTCATTTCCAAATGTTCATTTCCTACTAGCCATTATGATTATGTGCAAAGACATCAATCAATGACTCTTTTATTCATTTGAGCTGTTGGAATAATATTGCAATATACAATACGTTGCGAGCGACATTTGATGTATGCGTTCGCGTATAACTAACCCAAGAAAATTCAAAATGGCCGACATATATATATATTCGAAGGTCAAACTTTTCTGGATCCAGTATATATATATATATATATATATATATATATATATATATATATATATATATATATATATATATATATATATATATATATATATATATATATATATATATATATATATATATATATATACCGGTGTCCCAAAAAAAAGTACTCCGGTTTGACTTGTAATAACTTCTAAACAAGTAAAGCTATCAAACAGAAATAACTTGCATTAAATAGAGGAAGGACTAACTTAGATTTGATATATTACAGTTGTATTTCACTTAACAATTCACGGAGATATTAATGTTCAAAATCGGGAGCATATTTTTGAATGTGTCTAAAATTAGCGAAAATCGGCATATCAAATATTAACTTCAGCGTTTGTTTGCTTGATGACATATCAGGCTAACTTGTATTTCAGCGAATTGTCGTTAGGGTTTGTAAGGGATATGGCATAGATTTAGACATCTTACATGTAAGTCTTAGCTCATTGTTTCCTGAAATATGAACGTACGAAATTATGCAAGTATTTAATAGGTCTTTACAAACTTATAAGGTACATGAAAGACCACGCAAGGCAGGCGCTTAAATTTTAAAATTTCTTAAATAGCCTAATTTTTTTATGTTTTTCATGGATTCAAAACAGAGTTGTTTATTTCTCGGTTAGAGCAGGATGAATATTATTCTGCAATGAAGGAAATAATATTGCTTTTTGCAAATACACATCACAGTATCAACGCTACTATTTTGTTACGTTTTGTTCCAAAAATGTTGGATGTCTCTGGGGAGTTGCATGCTTGTTATGTCTTATCGAGTTGTATGGTTTGATTGTGTTTCATTCTCAGTTTATTCTGAACTTAAAAAGATTAAGAAAAGGCAAAAGAGTTTGAGTGTTCTTAACAAGATTTCAGAACGTTGCAAAAGTTAGAAGAGCTTCACAATTCGATTGTGACAGCATGGCCAGCATGCCCTAATTCAGAACTACGAACGATCCATGACGATCCTTCGCGATGCAGTGGTCTCATGAAATAAGGAAACGTATTCGTGCTAGGAACACACGCGGATTTCGGACGAATAAATCTTGCTTGTATTTTGTAGATAATAATACTTTGTTTCATAATAAACAATTTGTCAAGTGTCATTTATTT